GTCATCCAATTTACAAAATAGACATAGTCTCTCGTTGTAATTAACTTTATTGTATCTACCAGTTTCAACAGCTAAATTAAAATTTCCACATCTAAATTTAGAGAGTGCAGATCTGAGATGTAAAGGAATATCAGAATTTAAATACCTTTCCACATTTAAAAATGTCTTAAATTGGGAGTAATAAAACACTTATTAGAATTTTGAATTGAAGTGGACCAACATTGTTTAAGATTATCCGAAAGTCTCTGCTTAAACAAGGATATGAAATAATCAACATTGCCAACATCCTGACTGATCCATGCATAGCCAAACCATACTTAAATAAAATATTTTTGACACAAGTTGCCCAGGTAGTGCGGCCAACATCATCTAAGGACTTGAGCATAATATAACAATGTTTTGGCAGTCTATCATAAGGCATATACAATAGGTGACACCAGTATTTAATTACTTTAGTCATATAAGTAATTTGTAGAGGAAGTCTGCCACAATCACCAAGAGCCATGTTATTACAGGTAGATTTACCAACTTTCAAGAAATATTTACAAAATTTTACCTGAACAGACTCAATGATGCTACAATAGTTAGTACCCCAAATCTCAGACCCATAACACAAAATAGGTGAAACCATGCAGTCAAAAATCTTATATCTTATAATCGTATATATCAGCTATGGTAGTTATGTTGTTGCTCGTGTATTTTAATCTGTATGTAAACCATCAAGACTTCAACTTTTGAGATGGTTAATTATAACTGATGAAAGACGGTGGAATAGATGAATTTGAAATTTGCAATAACTATGAAGACAGAGTCACCTCCACTTGCCTAATATTGCTGTGGCAAAAATATTGAATGGCGTTTCCTTTAACGAATGTTCAGTTTGGGGATTACACCCATCGGGCGAACACAACATGACATGCATGGAATTCAAGGTACCCACGTGTCCCACAAAAAGCACTTTCAATCGAATGTGCCAAACGGTATAAAATGATAAAAACTGGTGATAATTTACTCAGAACTTATCAGTATGGCACGGCGACGATATTCGTAAGCGAGGAGATGGGAAATTATTGACATGCTTAAAACAGCAATGTCCGCCAGAGCGATTGGTCGTCAGCTGAACTTTCATCACTATCGTAGTAAAAACGTAAGTGCATGCTCTCAACATCTTGATCCTGGATTACTTCCAGCGGTAACATTTAATACACTATCTAAACAGATATCGTAGTGAAAACGTAAGTGCATTCTCTCAACATCTTGATCCTGGATTACTTCCAGGGGTAACATTTAGTACACCATTTAAACAGATATCGTAGTGAAAACGTAAGTGTATGCTTTCAACATCTTGATCCTGGATAAGGTCCCGGGGTATTCAGCTTGACCCTTCTGTTGCCACGGTACTTACATATACACACACATAACAAGGCTGGACAAATGTCCAGATGTAGTGGAGAGTAAGGAGGCAGGTGAAGATGCTGATACTGTCAACTGGTCTGGTGTTTGTTACTGTGTTTGATAACGATCTGTGGTCAAAAGTCTCAAGCCTGTAATGGGGAACTTGAACTGAGATGACCTGACGGTTCTGCCCGGAACATCAGATGGCACATGTAATGAAGGACGTTGTTGATTCAGAGAGACTCGTGTATGTCAGGCACCGTTCTGCCTTTGACTGATGTCCAGAGACTGCCTGTGAGCACTGATATGACGCGTTTTAGTGAGCGTCTGAAAACAGCACTGCTCTATTCTGGCCCTTTTGCAACACGACGATGACAACAGAACTGCTCTATTCTGGCCCTTTTGCAACACGTCGATGACAACAGAACTGCTCTATTCTGGCCCTTTTGCAACATGTCGATGACAACAGAACTGCTCTATTCTGGCCCTTTTGCAACACGTCGATGACAACAGAACTGCTCTATTCTGGCCCTTTTGCAACATGTCGATGACAACAGAACTGCTCTATTCTGGCCCTTTTGCAACATGTCGATGACAACAGTGCTGCTCTATTCTGGCCCTTTTGCAACACGACAATGACAACAGAACTGCTCTATTCTGGCCCTTTTGCAACACGACAATGACAACAGAACTGCTCTGTTCTGGCCCTTTTGCAACACGACAATGACAACAGAACTGCTCTATTCTGGCCCTTTTGCAACACGACAATGACAACAGAACTGCTCTATTCTGGCCCTTTTGCAACACGATGATGACAACAGAACTGCTCTATTCTGGCCCTTTTGCAACACGACGATGACAACAGCACTGCTCTATTCTGGCCCTTTTGCAACACGACAATGACAACAGCACTGCTCTATTCTGGCCCTTTTGCAACATGTCGATGACAACAGAACTGCTCTATTCTGGCCCTTTTGCAACACGTCGATGACAACAGAACTGCTCTATTCTGGCCCTTTTGCAACATGTCGATGACAACAGAACTGCTCTATTCTGGCCCTTTTGCAACACGTCGATGACAACAAAACTGCTCTATTCTGGCCCTTTTGCAACATGTCGATGACAACAGAACTGCTCTATTCTGGCCCTTTTGCAACACGTCGATGACAACAGAACTGCTCTATTCTGGCCCTTTTGCAACATGTCGATGACAACAGAACTGTTCTATTCTGGCCTTTTGCAACATGTCGATGACAACAGTGCTGCTCTATTCTGGCCCTTTGCAACACGACAATGACAACAGCACTGCTCTATTCTGGCCCTTTGCAACACGACAATGACAACAGAACTGCTCTGTTCTGGCCCTTTGCAACACGACAATGACAACAGAACTGCTCTATTCTGGCCCTTTTGCAACACGACGATGACAACAGAACTGCTCTATTCTGGCCCCTTTGCAACACGATGATGACAACAGAACTGCTCTATTCTGGCCCTTTGCAAACGACGATGACAACAGCACTGCTCTATTCTGGCCCTTTTGCAACACGACAATGACAACAGCACTGCTCTATTCTGGCCCTTTTGCAACACGACGATGACAACAGAACTGCTCTATTCTGGCCCTTTTGCAACACGTCGATGACAACAGCACTGCTCTATTCTGGCCCTTTTGCAACATGTCGATGACAACAGAACTGCTCTATTCTGGCCCTTTTGCAACACGTCGATGACAACAGAACTGCTCTATTCTGGCCCTTTTGCAACATGTCGATGACAACAGAACTGCTCTATTCTGGCCCTTTTGCAACACGTCGATGACAACAAAACTGCTGCTCTATTCTGGCCCTTTTGCAACATGTCGATGACAACAGAACTGCTCTATTCTGGCCCTTTTGCAACACGTCGATGACAACAGAACTGCTCTATTCTGGCCCTTTTGCAACATGTCGATGACAACAGAACTGTTCTATTCTGGCCCTTTTGCAACATGTCGATGACAACAGTGCTGCTCTATTCTGGCCCTTTTGCAACACGACAATGACAACAGCACTGCTCTATTCTGGCCCTTTTGCAACACGACAATGACAACAGAACTGCTCTGTTCTGGCCCTTTTGCAACACGACAATGACAACAGAACTGCTCTATTCTGGCCCTTTTGCAACACGACGATGACAACAGAACTGCTCTATTCTGGCCCTTTTGCAACACGATGATGACAACAGAACTGCTCTATTCTGGCCCTTTTGCAACACGACGATGACAACAGCACTGCTCTATTCTGGCCCTTTTGCAACACGACAATGACAACAGCACTGCTCTATTCTGGCCCTTTTGCAACACGACGATGACAACAGAACTGCTCTATTCTGGCCCTTTTGCAACACGTCGATGACAACAGCACTGCTCTATTCTGGCCCTTTTGCAACATGTCGATGACAACAGAACTGCTCTATTCTGGCCCTTTGCAACACGTCGATGACAACAGAACTGCTCTATTCTGGCCCTTTTGCAACATGTCGATGACAACAGAACTGCTCTATTCTGGCCCTTTTGCAACACGTCGATGACAACAAAACTGCTCTATTCTGGCCCTTTTGCAACATGTCGATGACAACAGAACTGCTCTATTCTGGCCCTTTTGCAACACGTCGATGACAACAGAACTGCTCTATTCTGGCCCTTTTGCAACATGTCGATGACAACAGAACTGTTCTATTCTGGCCCTTTTGCAACATGTCGATGACAACAGTGCTGCTCTATTCTGGCCCTTTTGCAACACGACAATGACAACAGCACTGCTCTATTCTGGCCCTTTTGCAACACGACAATGACAACAGAACTGCTCTGTTCTGGCCCTTTTGCAACACGACAATGACAACAGAACTGCTCTATTCTGGCCCTTTTGCAACACGACGATGACAACAGAACTGCTCTATTCTGGCCCTTTTGCAACACGATGATGACAACAGAACTGCTCTATTCTGGCCCTTTTGCAACACGACGATGACAACAGCACTGCTCTATTCTGGCCCTTTTGCAACACGACAATGACAACAGCACTGCTCTATTCTGGCCCTTTTGCAACATGTCGATGACAACAGAACTGCTCTATTCTGGCCCTTTTGCAACACGTCGATGACAACAGCACTGCTCTATTCTGGCCCTTTTGCAACACGTCGATGACAACAGAACTGTTCTATTCTGTCCCTTTTGCAACACGACAATGACAACAGCACTGCTCTATTCTGGCCCTTTTGCAACACGACGATGACAACAGAACTGCTCTATTCTGGCCCTTTTGCAACACGACGATGACAACAGCACTGCTCTATTCTGGCCCTTAGGCAACATGTCGATGACAACAGAACTGCCCTATTCTGGCCCTTTGTAACAGCTCCTACACTTCATGTATCACTCTTGCTTGACAACGGTACAAGAATCTGTATCGAAACGTCACACTCACGAAATAAGAAGTTGTTATCCATAAAAACTTGTTCTATATGGTTTATGATACATTTGTTAATTGTCTATAATTACTTTGATTTCTTTCTCACTGTATTTTTGTCTTATACATATCTGATTTTCCTTCTGAACTCACCAATCATGTAACGAGGAGAGACAGAAGGGTGAAGTTCATAACCAGAATGGCGTCAGCCGTGCATACGTAAAATACGACACTGTCCAGTTTATCCGCCAGTTGAGGAAAGTCGGTAAACTCCTCCGGGTCACGTTCCGAGCCACCATCACCAGCGTCTGTCGTAGTGGATGGCTGTACAGCCTTCTTCCTTCCTGTCTTCAGGAGGACAAGTGCCAGGATCCGCGTCAGTCCGTTGTGCTTGTCTCTCTGACTTAGCCGTTGTGAAACAATGCAGTACGCCACGATCCCTGAACTGAACAGGAACTGCATGTAGACGAGGACTATGAAGACGGGAATGCCCCGGGACGACTGTGGTAGCAGATCAGCGAGGAGGGTGATGAAGATCGTGAAGGACAGGAAGAGGGTGACAGCTGTTGACGTCTTCTCCCCGCTATTGGACTTGACCAGGATCACACAAGGATTGGCGCCAGCAACAATAAACAGAGGCAGTATCAGACTGAAGATATAGTAACCGCCATGACGTCGCAGGGTCAGCGATACAGTCACTCCACTCTTGGGTCTGTGTTCGCCAAGGGTTACTCTCTTGGCGGAGGACGTTGTCAACATACACTCACCTGTCTTGATGGCTTTCTCGTCGGTGAAGGTCACGTCACTGATGTTGACGTCAACTTCGCCATGATAGGCGGTGGTTAGAGTGACCGAACACGTGTGTTTATCAAACGGGAACCTTGTGAGTGAAACCGGACATGGTGTTCTTGTCTCCAGATCAATAAACCACTCGACCTTGCCATCAGGATAAACCTGCAAAATAGCTGTGTTTAAAAATGTCCTTGTTAAATTTTATCGAAAAGAAAAGACTGGAGTATCCTATGATTACTAGTATCTTCATTCTTTCATTGATCCACAAGTGAGAGTAGGTGTGTGGATGAGAGTTTGGAAGTGTGTGTGTGTGTGTGTGTGTGTGTGTGTGTGTGTGTGTTTGTGTGTGTGTGTGTGTGTGTGTGTGTGTGTGTGTGTGTGTGTGTCGGAGTGCAATATCACACTAAAACCTGAATGCGACGTGTGTCCAGGGCGAGGCAACACTTCAACCATTAGGCTTTCCGAACTCCCCTTACAGAGCCTATAATGGGCAACCTACCTGTAGAGTGTTGTCATTGTCGCCGAGGATGTCCTCGCTGCTGTGGGCGTTGAGGACGTGAACATCTGGAACCCATACTTTACGTCTGGGAAAGTTAATCGCTCTTACATCTGTGTACTGATCGGCATTCCACGTCAACCTCTCGTCCGTCCACGTGACCACGAGCTCCAACAACGTGACCAAACTTTCACTGGTCAAGTCGAGGGTGACGATATTGAATACTGCAATGTCCATGTTAACCAACACTGTCCGTGATGAGTCGTTGACGGGGCGGAGGTTTGGTCGGTAGTAGGTTAGGAGACTGTCGTGGAGGCGTTGCAAGTCTGTGTAGTTAGCCCCGTCACAGACACTGATAGCGTAAAGAAGCCCTAGCAATGGGACCGTCGCACAATGCATTTGAAATGTTTGGTCACCACAAATATCGTTTTTGCGTTTTGAGACGTGCAGCAGATAGATCACGTAAACAAGCTTTAGACATGGCCGATACATCGGACCCTCGAGCCAGTCAACTGCTGTCGGACGACCCCCTCCCGTCTGGTGTTTCGCTAGAGTTTCCCTCGGGGGAGGGGCGTGGGATGCAGTCCGCCATCTCCAAGAAGCGTCCAGCTTCCCCAGACATCCCATCTTCGCAGCAGAAGTCTAAGAGGGCATCGACTTCATCACAGCGTAAACTCCGTACCCCCAGGGCAGCGTCGACTTCCAAGGGAAAAGCTAAGAAGCCAGCTAGAACATTCTCAGCCGAGATTCTTCCCGCCGCTGAACTGGGCAGTTTACAGCTCCACTCCATACAGCACCGTGGTCTGCTCCATCCATCTTCGACGGAGGAATAGACTAAGTCTCCAAGGAAGTCACTAAGGATTCCAGAGAAGTCCTTATGATTAAGTCTATGGATACGCTAGCCAGCGTCATAAGACAGACTTCACAAAGATATTCAGGAAGATCTAAATTCACTGGATAACAAAGAGCACGGGATAAAAAGATAGCCAGTTCCAGGGGAAGAGATTCTTTTCGTCGCCCATTTGGCAACTACAGAGGAGGATCAGGAAGAGGCAGGGCACCCAGAGGTTCCCGCAACTATAAACGTTGAAAGTCAGGTTCGGAACGACTGGAGTCTTCCACCCACAGCCGTTCCAGTACAGCCGTCACAAGTGGGTGGACGCCTCCAACTATACTGGGAGAACTGGGGAATGTTACAAGACCCATATGTCTCCAACATTCTTCAACACGGATATCGTATCCAACTAAAAGCCACGCCTCCGCTGACAGTCAACCCTTACAAGTTCGACTTCCAGGCACAACAACTACCAAAGTTAAGAGAGGCTGTTACTTCCCTCCTGAACAAGCAGGCCATAGAAGTACCAGACCAAGTAAACATCGAACCAGGCTTCTACTCCCCAGTTTTCCTAGTACCCAAGAAAAACTCCAAGGAGAAATACAGACTCATCTACAACATGAGTATTTTCAACAGAGAATTTCTGCGCAAACCACCAAAGTTTCGCATGATACATCTACCCCAGTTACGGCACTTAATCCGTCCCATGGACTACATGGCCAGTATAGATCTACAAGATGCGTATCTACACATCCCGATACATCCCGAATCCAAGAAATACCTACGGTTTACACTAGACGGGCTGCATTACCAATGGAAAGTACTCCCATTCGGAATATCATCAGCCCCATGGTTATTTACAAGAGTAACGAAACCCATCGTCACCTACCTACATCGTCAAGGGCTACGCAGTGCGTTTTACCTCGACGACGGGATACAAGTAGATCAAGATCCACAGCATCTCAAACTACAGTTAAACTACATCATCAAGCTACTAACACAGCTGGGATGGTTAGTAAATCTACTCAAGTCGGACCTAGTACCCTCGTAAGATCTGCAGTTTCTAGGCATTCAATTTATCACGACACTCAACGGTATCGTCGTTCCAGAAGACCGCTGGCTCAAGATCCAACAGACCATTCCACCAGCTCTACTCTCTCCGTTACCACTACGACAATGGCAGAGTCTATTGGGTCTCCTCACGTCAGCCCAAGATTTGACACTCAGAGGCTGGCTACAGTTACGCCTATTACAGGTCTTCATCAACGCTCATCTCGACGATCTACAACCATTCAGTCTACCGGTACACCTCAGACCTCATCTACTATGGTGGACCAGGAGGTCGAATGTCTGCGAAGGCATCTATTTAACAGAGCCGGAATTCCAAACCCATCTCTATGTAGACGCGTCGCTCCAAGGTTGGGGAGCTCATCTCGCCAACCGGACGGCATCAGGCATATGGAATCAGCAAGAAAGCAAACTCCATATAAACATGTTAGAGATGAAAGCGATAATCAACGCCATACTTCATTGGAGTACCATACTACGACAGGCACATCTGATGATTCATACCAACAATTCAACAGTGGCGTATTATGTGAACAAACAAGGCTTAACGAGATCATCAAGCCTATTGACTGTATGCTTTCAACTGTTCGATCTAATCAACGATCTCAACTTACATGTCAGAGCATGTCACATTCCCGGACCCAAGAATGTACTAGCAGACGCACTCTCTCGGCCACGCCTACCGGCACCGACAGAATGGATGCTCCATACAGTAATCTTTGCACAGATTATCAAACAAGTAGAAGCGCCACTAGTAGACCTATTCGCCACCCGCTTCAACAATCAGCTAACGACATTCGTATCACCTGTCCCGGATCCACAAGCAAGGGCAACGGACGCTCTAAGCATATCCTGGGAAGGCCTGCACGCGTACGCGTTTCCGCCGCTAAGTGTTATAGAAAATCAGACAAACACAGAGGCTACAACTAACTTTGGTCGCGCCCTACTGGCCAGCCAGGACGTGGTTTCCCATTCTAATTCAAGAAATCGGACAACCAACACTAAAGCTACCAAAGCGCTCGAATCTACTAGTACATCCTCACACCAAGCAAGCGCACAGAAACCCAGAAGTGTACCAACTTCACGTATGGACTGTATTAAAGTGTGTTTGAATAAGAGAGGATATTCTACAAGAGCGGCAAACCAGTCACGCTTGCTTTACGCTATTCTACACGTAACTTGTACGACGACAAGTGGCAAAGTTTTTAAAACTACGCAGCAAAAAATGGATTTACAGCGAGAGATGCTACACATCCACAAGTGGCTGATTATCTGTGTTACCTACGTCAAAAGAAACATTTGAAGGGCTCGACATTGTCAACATATCTTGCCGCGCTTAGCTCGGTCGTTACCATGAGAACGGGTCTCAAGCTAACCAAGTCGCCAGAGTTACTGGCCTTACTACGCTCTTTTCGTTTGGAAGATCAGAAATTTAAATTCCGCGCGCCAGCGTGGGATCTAAATATAGTGCTTCAACATCTCACAAGTGAAAGTTATGAACCGTTAGAATCAACGACCTTTGAACTTCTCACACAGAAAACTGTATTCCTGTTATCGCTAGCAACTGCAGCCAGGATGTCTGCAATTCACGCACTAGATTATGAGAGGATACAGTTTGATGACATTCACAACTCAGTGCACTTGGGTTTGCGATGGGACTTTATCGCTAAGAATCAATTGCCAGGTCAACCAGACAGATTATTTGCCAGGTCAACCAGACAGATTATTCCATATCCCTGCTCTATCCTCGATTCTCGGATCTCAAGGTACGTTGGACTTATCTCTATGCCCAGTCAGAGCTCTCAAAATCTATCTACGACATTCCAAACCAAGACGCCGACATCTCAAGCGATTATTCGTGAGTGCAATATCACACTAAAACCTGAATGCGACGTGTGTCCAGGGCGAGGCAACACTTCAACCATTAGGCTTTCCGAACTCCCCTTACAGAGCCTATAATGGGCAACCTACCTGTAGAGTGTTGTCATTGTCGCCGAGGATGTCCTCGCTGCTGTGGGCGTTGAGGACGTGAACATCTGGAACCCATACTTTACGTCTGGGAAAGTTAATCGCTCTTACATCTGTGTACTGATCGGCATTCCACGTCAACCTCTCGTCCGTCCACGTGACCACGAGCTCCAACAACGTGACCAAACTTTCACTGGTCAAGTCGAGGGTGACGATATTGAATACTGCAATGTCCATGTTAACCAACACTGTCCGTGATGAGTCGTTGACGGGGCGGAGGTTTGGTCGGTAGTAGGTTAGGAGACTGTCGTGGAGGCGTTGCAAGTCTGTGTAGTTAGCCCCGTCACAGACACTGATAGCGTAAAGAAGCCCTAGCAATGGGACCGTCGCACAATGCATTTGAAATGTTTGGTCACCACGGGTAGCGCTTGACCGGCGTATGTAGTGATCTACTGGACCGTCTTCAGTCTCTGTTACCAGAGGCTGCTTCAGCTGCTGTACAGGTAGAACGTCCACTGTCACCAGACCAATCTGCTGAACAGCTTGATTCCGTCAACTCAGTCGGACAAATGCCTATAACCTAATGGACTGTTAGGAACACTGCATTAGAATTTAATAGCACGGTCTAATAGTGTTGACAATCCTCTTGTGTTTCCCATTCAAGCACAGTATTAATGGTAGGAATTGTTTCAGACGTAGTGTTCGTCTAACAGTATTGACAGACGTTTTAACACACGTTCTTGTAATACAAACATGTCAATTTCAGCATGACAGAATGTAAGTGCTGTATTCATGTAAGCCAGGATGAATTAAAACACGGAAGGAATCTATATCTGTGTTTGGTAGGGTCATGGTATACACTGTGTGCCTGGTTAAATGAGTGGGTGCAGTTGAAGTTCTGTATCGTGTCCCAGCAGCGACACATGGATGACCAGCGAAGTCAGTTCAACCCCATCTGAGAGGAAGATCAACAACTTTATCATCTAAATCTGTGTTCCACAGGAGATATTGCTTGTGTGAGATCATATGATATCTTCTAGGAGATATCGTTGGTGAGATTCTATATGTACTTCACATGCGCGCCTTGGGCAAAATATGAATAGTTTGTAATTCCCGAAACACTGTAGGAATGTACATAGTGATGCTCACCACAAATAACACACACACTGGCTGAGTGAGTTTAGTTTTACGCCGCATTTAGCAATTATTCAGCAATATTACAGTGTGTGTGTGTGTGTGTGTGTGTGTGTGTGTGTGTGTGTGTGTGTGTGAGATATATATATATATATATATACCAGAAATGGGTTACACACATCGTACCCTTGTGAGGAATTAAACCCAGGTCATCGGCGTGACGAGCGAACGCTTTAACCACTAGGCTACCCCACCGGCACACTTACCCTGGACCAACACTGGCATCACCGTGGAGAGTCTTGTCGTCGTTAGATCAACAGCCATCACTGGGTAGGGCAGAGGGAACGTCGTTGTAAGATGGATGGTAGACGGTTGTAGTCTGGGGTCTAGGCTTTGTTACCTCTAGGGTTGACCGTTGTAGTTTAGAGGGTAGATTGTGTCAAGGGTGGAGGGGTATCAATAGCGTCAATATCAATCAGTCAAAGATGGCGGGGTATCAATAGCAGCAATCTCGATCAGTCAAGGAAGGCGGGGTATCATTAGCAGCAATATCAATCAGTCAAGGATGGCGGGATATCATTAGCAGTAATATCGATCAGTCTAGGATGGTGGGGTATCAATAGCGTCAATATCGATCAGTCAAGGAAGGCGGGGTATCAATAGCAGCAATATCAATCAGTCAATGGTGGCGGGATATCGATAGCGTCAATATCGATCAGTCAAGGATGGCGGAGTATCACTATCGTCAATATCGATCAGTCAAGGATGGAAGGGTATCACTATCGTCAATATCGATCAGTCTAGGATGGCGGGGTATCACTAGCAGCAATATCAATAAGTCAATGGTGGCTGGGTATCAATAGCGTCAATATCGATCATTCAAGGATGGCGGGGTATCATTAGCAGCAATATCAATCAGTCAATGGTGGTGCTGGGTATCAATAGCGTCAATATCGATCAGTCAAAGATGGCGGGGTATCATTAGCGTCAATATCGATCAGTCAATGGTGGTTGTGGGTATCAAATATATAGCGTCAATATCGATCATTCAAGGATGGCGGGGTATCAATCGAAGCAATATCGATCTGTCAAGGATGGCGGGGTATCATTAGCAGCAATATCGATCAGTCAATGGTGGTGGTGGGTATCAATAGCGTCAATATCGATCAGTCAAGGATGTCGGGGTATCATAAGCAGCAATATTGATCAGTAAATGAACACCTGACTCACTGAATTCCTCGATCATTGAACTCTTCAATCACTTATCTCCTCTATCACTAATCTCCTCAATCACTAAACACCTCATTCACTGATCTCCTCAATCACTGCACGCCTCAATCACTAAGTTCCTCAATCACTGATCTCCTCAATCACTAATCTCCCCAATCACTGCACGCCTCAATCACTAAATTCCTCAATCACTAAACTCCTCACCTACTAAATTCCTCAACACTAAATTCCACAATCACCGATTTCCTCAATCACTGATCTCCTCAATCACTTATCTCCTCAATCACTAAGCTCCTCAATCACTGATTTCCTCAATCACTAATCTCCTCAATCTCCAATCTCCTCATAAATAATCCCCTCAAACAATGATCTCCGTAATCACTAATCTCCTCAATGACTGATCTCCTCAATGACTAATCTCCTCAATGACTGATCTCCTCAATCACTGATCTTCTCAATCACTAAACTCCTCAATCACTGATCTCCTCAGTCACTAATCTCCTCAATGACTGATCTCCTCAATGACTGATCTCCTCAATGACTGATCTCCTCAATCACTTATCTCCTCAATCACTAAGCTCCTCAATCACTGATTTCCTCAATCACTGATCTCCTCAATCACTAATCTCCTTAATCTCCAATCTCCTCATAAATAATCCCCTCAATCACTGATCTCCGTAATCACTAATCTCCTCAATGACAGATCTCCTCAATAACTGATCTCCTCAATGACTGATCTCCTCAATGACTGATCTCCTCAATCACTGATCTCCTCAATCACTAAGCTCCTCAATCACTGATCTCCTCAATCACTGATCTCCTCAGTCACTAATCTCCTCAATCACTAAACTCCTCGCTCACTAATCTCCTCAATCACTGATCTTCTCAATGACTGATCTCCTCAATCACTTATCTCCTCAATCACTAAGCTTCTCAATCACTGATTTCCTCAATCACTGATCTCCTCAATCACTAATCTCCTCAATCTCCAATCTCCTCATAAATAATCCCCTCAATCACTGATCTCCGTAATCACTAATCTCCTCAATGACAGATCTCCTCAATCACTGATCTCCTCAATCACTGATCTTCTCAATGACTGATCTCCTCAATGACTGATCTCCTCAATCACTGATCTCCTCTATCACTGATCTCCTCAATCACTGATCTCCTCAATGACTGATCTCCTCAATGACTGATCTCCTCAATCACTGATCTCCTCAATCACTGATCTCCTCAATCACTGATCTCCTCAATGACTGATCTCCTCAATGACTGATCTCCTCAATCACTGATCTCCTCAATCACTGATCTTCTCAATCACTAAACTCCTCGCTCACTGATCTCCTCAATCACTGATCTCCTCAATCACTGATCTCCTCAATGACTGATCTCCTCAATCACTGATCTCCTCAATCACTGATCTCCTCAATCCCTGATCTCCTCAATCACTGATCTTCTCAATCACTGATCTCCTCAATCACTAATCTCCTCAATCACTAATCTCCTCAATGACTGATCTCCTCAATCACTGATCTCCTCAATCACTGATCTCCTCAATCACTGATCTCCTCAATCACTGATCTCCTCAATGACTGATATCCTCAATCACTGATCTCCTCAATCACTGATCTTCTCAATCACTGATCTCCTCAATCACTGATCTTCTCAATCACTAAACTCCTCGCTCACTAATCTCCTCAATCACTGATCTCCTCAATGACTAATCCCCTCAATCACTAATCTCCTCAATTACTAAACTCCTTAATCAGTAATCTCCTCAATCACTAATCTACCCAACTATCCTGCAGAATGACTGTATTGACACCGGGTGTCTTTACAATGACAGTTTTGGGATAGTTGGAATATCTGCACATCCTACTATGTTTAGATCTATACACACACGCATTACTTCCATGAGCACCGTGTTGTTGTATTGTGTCAGGGCTCACTGTCTGAAACGTGATGGTGTTGTTGGGGATCTCTTCCAGCGTCTACATTGGCCTTACTATTTACCTTCAGTACTTCAAGTTACCTTCAATACTAAACTGTAGTACATAGTAGTGGTATTATCTGCACATGCTGCAATGTTACATCTATACACACACGCATTACGTCAATGAGCCTTGTGTTGCTGTATTGTGTCAGGGCTCACTGCCTTCAGTGTCAGTGTCGTTGTCGTCTCTGTATACTCGGCCTGAATGCATGAGGAGTTGCGGCCGGCTTGTCGATTACGGAAAGGCACGAGTTACACCGAGTGTACTTGAAGCGAACAAGGAAGTAACAGTTCAGGGTAGTGTGTACAGCTGTCTACTGTGTAAATTCGTCTACCACCCGTCTAACACCGTCTATCACCGTCTAACGTTCAGTATTCGGCAGTGTGTTGCTGTTGTGTGGCCAGGTATACTTTGTGTAGTGTTTTACTGAGTTTGTCTTGTGCACAGGCCCTGTATTGGTGAGGCGTCCTTGTAACCCACCCGGATATCACAGGAGAAAACTGACACAGGTAAGTGAGCTTCTCTGTCTGTGCTAGATTATTATATTTCAGCACGGTATATTTTCCGTTACAGCACACACGTCACTTACAAATAGATTATGGTATGATTTCTTTACTATATTCCATTTTAGGTTTAATTGGACATTGAACAATACCGTCCCCGGCCTCAAGGAATGTGTTATCCGAAATTCCCTAATTTCTCTTTCCATAAACATTCTTCCTTTTTAAGTCCTAATTTCTCTCAAGTCTAAAGTCTGTTATATTTTTCCATTCAAAGCCAAAGCATCATCTGCCAAAAATACTTCCTCAACCATGTAGGTAATCAGTATTGTCTTGACATCGACGTTAAGCATAGCTGATTTGGTGTAAAGTTTCGGCCAGTTGTACCAGTTCAGACATTTGGACCACAGAAACGTGTTCGGGAAAATGTTGTCCAACAAACTCTGCACTAACCATCAGTGATGGCGGTCTTCATACAACATTGTACAGCAAAATGTTTAGCCATTAAATTTTGAACAATATATTTTAGGCCACTCACAGAATACGCCACCTATTATGAACGTGTATTAATACTTCAAATTACATTGTGTCTGCTTTCCCATGCTTTTGTTAAGTTAATTAGTTTTAAAAGGACTTTTCCAACAAAACACTCAGCATCTAAGTTATTTAATGAAACTTAATTTGCCAATAAAATAATTTCCTCACGTCTACATTTCTTAAATATTTCTTCTGTCTCTTTCTCAAAATGACGATGATTTTCATGGTGTTCAGTTTGCACATGACTAATCAGTTTCTAAATGACATAGATTTCTACAACTGGTGTACTCATTTTCAGAATATCACGCTCTGAATGCAGTCTTGAAGTAAAACTAAAACTTTATACACAATTGTATTTTAGATGGGTAAAAATCAAACCGTAGAGTTTATTTCTCATAACGTTCAAAATATATTTGGACGGAAAAGCTAGCATTACATATTTCGCTATCATTTAGATATTTGTTGTTAAACAGAACATCTGATTTCAGGTTAAACTCTCCAAGTCGGGTCAGAACTGAACTATGCTTCTTTACAAACTGATTTCAATAGTTTCAAGTTGCACCCTCCATTGATATTTTGAAAAGAAAATATCTTTATTCAACAAAGTAGGTTGCACGGTCTGGCGAGCACAGGCTTTATGAAATCCGGGTGCATTATGCGTTGTATACAATTCTGGGTGAGAAGACTACATCGTCAATGCGCGCATCATATCAACCGTGCTTTGGTTTTCGTTTAATTAAAGGTTTCCTGAAAGAGAGCCTTGGAACAACCACTGGTTGATTAACCTTCCTGACTTGTGACGTCATGCATAAATTTGCTTATTCATCAGTGCATGTGTAATCCTTGCTGTCCCTGCTCTCCTAAAGGGGTATCGCTGGACCCGTACAATACCACAATTGTTGGCCACAGTAATGAATAGGATCTCCACAATAGTCGCTGTTAGAAGTGTTATCTTATTTGTAAAAGCGACATATTCAATTTCCATAATCATAATAGACATCTGCCAGACAACACAGTGTCAATTTCTCGGGAATGAGTCACACGCAAAAGGATATGTCAGGCGTGCTCAAGAGGTCGAGGTCACGCTGCCCTACCTCTTCGACAGACAACAAACCAATTCAATAGCAAGGTAATTTTGTAAACACCACCACTTGCGTAAATAGAAATCTAGTCAGCACTGGGGTTTAATATCAGTTTATATTGCACACAAACACTGTCAGAAAGTATTGAGGATGTCAAATATATTTCAAAAGTCTAGAACTCAAGAGATGTGTCGACAGACAAACATTCCCAATGCTATTTCATCATATTTGCAATATGTGTAAATACTTCTGTCATGTGCATCACTTTCAAACCTAATTTCAAACACAGTTGAAGCATGGTCGTTTCTCTTTCTATTCATTTCAGGTCTGTATTAGACTGTAACATACATTCAGGCCTGTATTAAACTGTAGCATACATTCAGGCCTGTATTAGACTGTAACATTCAATGTATTTATTCCGTTATGTTCAAGCACCATACTGAATTATAGAAATACGTCATATTATGACCACACCCTCCACAAATCTGGAGAGTACTGGGTATTATGTGCATTTGCTCTTGTGTTTGTCCAGATAAAGAAATATCACTTCTAAACACCTTTCAAAGACTTGGATTCCTTAGATTTGTGTACACACCGAGTTACTGTGTTGTGTTGCTGTACCGTGTCTGGACTCACTGCACGTGATGAACCACTTGATCTAAACATGGCTCGAGGTCGGCTTGCGCACAGTCTTTCTTGTTTAAATTCTTTATGAAAGGGGGCGAATGTTGCCGAATGCACATTGAGCGTTACTCGAGGAAGCGGAAGGCTGTTGCAGTGTAGCGTCGTGTTGGAGGACCGGCTCTCCACACCACTGTCTCTATGCATACCAACACCCGTCTAACTTCGCCTGTCACCCGTCTAACTCCGTCTATCACCCGTCTAACTTCGTCTGTCACCCGTCTAACTTCGTCTAACACCCGTCTAACTTCGTCTAACACCCGTCTAACTTCGTCTAACACCCGTCTAACTTCGTTCAGTATCCAGCAGTGTGTTGCTGTTGTGTGACAAGGTAAACTTTGTCCGTGTTTTACTGACTTTGTCTTCGCCATTGTACACTTGACCTGTGTGAGTTAGGCGTCCTTGTAACCCACCCGGATATCGGAGGAGAAAACTGACGCGGTAAGTCAGCTTGCCTGTCTCTGCTAGATAAAAACAATCCAGCATGTTTTGCTTTCCTTACAACAAGTCACTTACAAAAAGATTAGAATAAATTATTTATTTACTATATTCCAGTGCCAGTGTGCGTTGTTCCAAGCGTGGACCAAGAGGAGGTAAACGCATTGCCAAAGAAATCTGTAATAGAAATAAGCCCATCAACCTTTAACCTCGCCCTTGATGCCCAATCTGTCCGAAACAAGTCACTTACTTTGCATGACCAAATACCTGAACACGATTATGATATTTTTGTGCTGAAAGAGATATGGCTCGAAGATGGTGATCAGTCTGTATTGACTGAAATTCTCCCTGGAGGGTATGACATCTCTCAGGCTAGGAGACTCGTCGGGACTGGAGGAAGTGTGAGTACTTTTTAGAAGCTGTCTCAAATCTAGGAAAACCTTCGATTTTATGATTTCAACTTTCAATCTGAAGAATGACTTTGTGCAGCGGATGATATGTATTTATCGACCTCCAATATCAAGACATCATAAGGTTACATTTGATGACTTCCTCAACGAGTTCTCTGATGTTTTGGATGACAGATCAAGGTCATCTTGTAATTCGCGTTGATGTGTATTCCAACTGCCAAGCACAGCATTTCAAAGAGTTCCTTTCCTTGTACAATCAGAACCCACTCACAGATGTGCTCATACTCTGGACCTCATCATAACCCGTGACCTTGACACGTTCCTCCAAGTCATTGATGTAACTAACAGGTTTATCTCTGATCACTTAACTATAAACTGTCCGCTCAACACCTGTTAACCTGAACATCTTCTTAGATCTGTCACCTATAGGGAAAACAGTGAGTGAGTAAGTGAGTGAGTTATTATTTAACGTCACATCGGCAATATTTCAGCCATATCGTGACGAGAAATGTTTTATATAAATAATAAATTAAAGTTGCTAAAGAATCAGTCAGCGAAGGACTGTAAAATAACTAGAGTATCACAGATGGAGTCTAAAACTAGTATGAGCATGTAAAACTATTTTATTTACGAAGACAATACAATATAAAAACGGGCTATAGATCGCGAACAACTGAAGGTAGATCACCATACTAGGAACCATGGGGACTTACATTACTTTTGCTATCTGCATGGACCCTAGTTGGATTTACACCATCCCTTCAGCCATTGGCGACAGAAGAGAAATCTAGCCATAAATTAAAAACACACTTATTCTACGATTAAAATGCAGGTACACTTAAATTGACTAAATGTTTTGGGACTTACGTACCCTCTCACTAGGACAATAATTTTACAATACTTCAACCCCCTTTGAGGATACAGCCACTTACAATCTCAGTTACTAATTTAAATTACCAATAATAAAATATGTATCTATTTACAAATCGGTCAACAAATCTAATGCAATAATTAAATGAGAACTTATATTACTAAAAAGATCCTTCATAGTTCGTGATTGGAAATAGATATCCCTTGTGATGGAATATTCAACACAGTCAAGCAAGACATGCTTGACCATGATTCTTCATCACAAGGGATACAAAACGGAGGATCCTCACCTTTTAACAGATATTCATGAGTATATCTGGTGTGACCAATACGACATCGTCGTATGATGACCTCTTCAAATCTGGACTGACAGCCCAAGTAGGTGTAACCGATAGTTGGTTTTATTGCATGTAATTTATTTATACCGACTTGGGTGTCCCACTTCTTTTGCATCAGATCACGGATATAAGATCGAATAGCATCTTTGTAATCAGAGTATGGAATAAGAAGTGGTGTCACAGATTTGTTGAGTGCTGCCTTGGCAGCAAGATCGGCCATTGTGTTCCCAGAAATGCCAACGTGGCTGGGTAACCAACAAAAGACGATGTCGCATTGGCCAGTAGCAAGATCATTATATAATTCAATTATTTCAATTAAAAGTGGATGTTTGCAAGACAGATTTTTAATCGCCTGAAGGCAAGATAGAGAGTCAGAAAAGATTATATATTGTTTATGTTTAGGATGCCTTTGAATATATTCGAGAGCTGTTAAGATGGCTTTTGCTTCTGCTGTAAATATAGAGCTGTTATCTGGTATTCGAGAAGATATTGTTCTGGATCCAATGACAGTGGCACATGCCACTGCGCCACTGTCCTTGGACCCATCTGTAAATAAGGATTTATATGTATTATATGTACTTTTTAATTGATTATGCTCTTGTTTATATTGTAATTCATTTGTACCAAGTTAATCTGTTATTGACCATGCGCTC